TGTTGTTAGTTTTTATTCGGGGACTGCTGCAGCTTGTCAATTCTCGCCCTGTGCAGGACGGGGTCAAGCGGGCGGAACTTTCTCTGTGTACGGGAACACCGCGACGTGGATAATCGATTTGTGGTCTAGTATATTTCATTATGACCTCTTCTTTTCGGAGGTTGTGCGCGTGCCAGTCCGACACCGCCAGGGTGGCTGTAGGTAGTAACCCATCAAAACATCGTCTATATATATGGCGACATGGATTACCAAATCCCACGGGGGGCCCCCCGGGATAACGTGAAAGGGGGACCCGGTTTTTTTTCAAGGAGCCGGCGGAACTATTCCTTCCTTTTGCGACGCCGGGAAGCAGGCGGACAGGAAAACCTCGGGAGCTTGGTGTTTTTCTAAACTTTCCATAAAAAGGGAACCTCCTCTTCGGAAGTTGTTGACCCCACACCCCGGCTCGCTTCCCGGAACCCCCAACCCCGGGGCCCCCAAACTTTTGCTTTTTGGCCGTTAGGTATTCCCCACCCCATTCCCTGACTTTCCAAAAAAACCGGACCCTTCATAGTAGCGCCGAAACTTGAAGGCTAAACCCCAATCGGGAAATGTGCCTGAGGTTGAAAAACCGTTAAAAAGGGGCTTTTACGGGGTGCCGCCAAAAAACCATAGGCAACAGATAACACGGGAGGAATTAATCCCCCTCCAGGTTGCCAACCCCACAGGGGGCCGCCCCTCCACAACTAAAACCCTGGGATTTTTCTGGGGGCCCCATTTAAACTCATTTTTTTTTTTCCAGGAAGGGTTATTTGAAGGGTAGATGACTAATTGAGCCTGCCGGCCCCAAAGAAAAAATAGGGGGGATCTTTTGGGGGGGAAGATTGTTTAAAAAGGGAGTGAAAAAAACTGGTAAAAAGTAAACTTTTTATTAATCCCCACCACCAACCGATGAGCCCCCCAAGGGCGGAATTTTAATGGGGGCCACATTATTGTGGTCCATTTCCGCTATACCAAAGCCCAATCGTTCTTTCGTTTTTTAAAAACATAAACAACAAGCGGAGGGGATTTTAACCCTATAACCAATTTCTTGAAAGGTGTTTTCCGGTAGATGTTTAAAAGCGCTTTGCTTCCAAAACTGCCGGAAAAACAAGCGCGGGCCGCTTTCCATTTATTGTACACAAAAAAACATTTCTGGGCAGGGGCATTAAACTTCCGTCGTGCTTAACATTAGAATATATCTCCCAAATTCTACACTTCTTCTATACTCGTGCTTAAACATAAAGTTAATTATATTTTCCCTCATCCTAACAACTCTCTATAACTCGTGCTTACATTTAGATAAATATATTCCATCTTAACCCCAAACTCCCCTCTATACTCGTGGCTTACAAGATAATATTAATTCTTTCCTCTACAATCTACACTCTCTATACTCGTGCTTCACACATTAAACAATAAAACTGCTTCACACTGCCGTTTCCAAACAGGCGCACAGTAATTTAAAACACAGAGTCAACATCAACTCATCATCTTTTATTTGAAGAAGTGACAGATACCAGAAGAGAAAATACAAACTCTAGAATTGATTCTAGCCTGAAAAAAAAAGTACATTGTGTAAAACTGCTGTACAGGCAACTAGATCTTGACTGTAAAACCTCAAAACATCCCACTGCATCCTCCCTTCTGCTGATCCTCCTTCCTAGTGTGTGTGTGTGAGGGATACTAATTAAGTGCAGTTGAGGGAAAATGTAATGTTCAGGATGAATAAGTCACCCCATGAAACCAAAGCTCTTTCTGGTCTTTAATAACTGTTTTTACCAGTTAATTATATGTTTATTTTTATGGCAATGGTTACAAACAATCAAATTTTGAATAACTGCCTGAAACAACCGTGTTTTATTTATAAGCCGACAGCATTGCCTTTGCAACCGCAATGACAAATTAGGAAAATGAAGGATTCAATGGAAGATTTGAGATTTTACTCATCAGAGCCTACATTCCTCGTCATACGCACAGTAGGCAACCGTCACAATTCACAGCACCAGGGAATGTGTTTAACAACAAAGCCAATTATGTGGATGTGAGTTTGACACCTCACTTTTAAGTAAATTGGTCCGGGCATAATCCCAAACCGGGTGTCTGATTCTGCCAGCTCATGTTAATAATCTTGAATGTAATGAAGTTATGGCGGGCATCCTTTCATGTTCTCAGGGCAGAAACAGTTTGGCCATAATGCAATGTGGCTAAACTCTGTCTGAATAACTGTGGTTTACAAAACGTGTCATGAGACTGTTGGCTACTGTGCTGCTATGTCTTTGTCAGGAAATGTGGCCTGAAAGCCCCATCATCATTATGGAGGGTGTGTTCACGCAATGGCTGCCAGGTAGTCTTTCACCTCCGCTGGGGTGAGTCTTTTGAATCCGGCCTCGTTGCAGATCCCCACCTCAATGTTTTCCTCTGTCATCTGACCCTCAAAGCTCTCCTGAAACACAAAAGACAGGGGAGTGTCAGTGACAGAGGAAAAAAAGAGAACCGTAGGTAAAATAGTTTCTATACCGTGGTTATTTATTAACAAAGAACATACCTTCAATGTCAAGATGGCTGTGTGGATGGCATCTTCCAATTCCAGATCGTTGTTATACCTGGAGAACAAAACAAAGTGGTCATCTATCAATCTGTGTAATGTGCATCAGGTAGAACAACTGTAAGAGTGGTACGTTCAGGGTGAACCGTAAGTCATAACTGGAACTTCTTAAACAATGTTCGTGGACACAATCTGGGTCAGGGGCTTATTGCTGAACATTGGCCTTTTTAATACAAGACTCCATTTAGGTCAGTTCCTAGAAGAGGAATCATTGGAATCAGGCTCTACACCCTGAGCCTCATATAAAACTTAATAACCTTTCCATAATTGTAGTGAACCAAATACCATCCTGGCTCATCTTCCATGTCTGCCAACTACAAATTTACTTGGATAGCAAAGATTGACCACACTTAGCCTTATTTATAGATCAAATTAGGGCTTCAATTCTAACTGCACTGACACTGAAAGTGTCTTAAAGTGTAGAAATACTCTATGGTTTTCTTTGTTGTTTTTCATGTTCATGTATCAGAACTAACGTTAAATGATATTGTCCCTTGTATACATTCAGACTTTACTGAAAATGGCAGCAGTATGCTTAAAAAAAAAGAAAAAACTAGAGCCTGACTGATACATTGGTTGGCTGATATTGGCCTATTGCAGACATGTGTATCTGTAAGTTTATCTAGCAGAGTGCTAGTGATTTACAATACTATGGTAGGCAGCACAGAGGTGAGATACAGGAGAATGAGGTTCAGTTTAATGTCTGTCTGCAACATATTCTACAGATATAAACACAACTGTAGTGAAATGTGTATGTCGCTGGTATAATGTGACTGAATAGACTTTTCACTGCCAATTTTTGCTGGGAACAAGCAGCTGAGATGCGTGTGGCCCGCACAGCAGTGTGGCTGCTCCCATCGGTTAGCATGGGCACAGAAATAAAAAGCAAGACGTTCCACCACCGACTGCAGACGCAGGCAATGTGGACAGAGCCTAAGTAAGAAAAGCAACTCAGCAGGGTCTACTAGAATTGGTTGACAACGTATATGTTCAATTATTGAACAAGTTAAAGAATATCTAACTGAAATATCATTTAATAAGGTTATTAGTTTAAGAAAACCACCTTCAGAGAGTCATATCAATGCAAAATAACTGCCGCCATATTAGTAATTAGGGATTTTTTTTACCCCCTAAAACTGATATCGGTCTTATATTGATTTCCCATATTGGTTGAGTTCTATAAAGAACATTAATGAATTTGAATGTATCATAATAAAACAATTTTAAAAAGATACCACAACAAATACTCTATTTACATATTTACATCTGTGTTTTGATCATTTGGATAGCCATAATAAACATACAGATCCCTTGCTGAGGGAGATCTTACCTTTTTTCAAGGAATGTTTT